GACACCCATATGGGATCCCGGGTGCGTTCAAGTAGAGGACTTTAGACTCTAGGCCCCGCCACTAGGCCCCTGAAACTTTTTCTAAAAAGATTTTTTTATTTGTTTTTAATTTATAGGCAGATTTACAGATAGAGAAGGAGAGACAGAGAGAGAGTTGTTCCACCTGCTGGCTCACTCCCTAAGTGACCACAGTCTCAGGAGCTGAGTTTATTCGAAGCTAGGAGTCAGGATGTTCTTCCTGATGTGCCACATGGATGCAAGGGTCCAACAAAAGACCATCCTCTGCATGTTTCCTGGGCCATGTAACAGACAGCTAGTTCTGGAGGTACAGCAGGCCTTTAAGTCACATGACAGCTACATATAGCTGTAAAATAATCCATTGTCAATGTCCTTACTAAAATTTGTGACGAAATGGAAACATGATATAGTTTTCATTTAAAACAGCCTTGTTGCTGTCATTGCATGTGGGTTTGCCATAGCTTGTTTCCCTTCCAATGGGAGAAGCACTAAGCAGCCTGTGATGGAAATGACTCATTAGGAACTGGGATTTTAGGACTACTTTACTTGATTGTTTTTTATACTTTACTTAGTACTCCCACCCTCCTGTGTCCAATAATCTATTCCTCAAATACTCTCTCTCTCTCTTTTAATCTCTGTGTGTGTGTGTGTGTGTGTGTGTGTGTGTGTGTGTGTGTGTGGTCCGTGAATGAAGGTGTGGGTTGTGGTGGAAATAGGAGAAAGCTTTAATTCATTGTGACACAAAGTCATCTCAAATTTTTATAAAATTAGACTGGGTAAAAATGTTTTTAGTAAGAATACCTGGGAAACAACTTTGAACTACGTCATCATGTTAACTACGTAATTAATGCATTTTGATAATTATATAGTTTTCAGAATCCAGCAAATTTGACATTAGCTTGATAATAAATGTAAATTAACAAAAAGTGAGGAGGTTACATTTTTATGACTTGGAAATGCACAAAATTAGAGAGGGGTCTTCCTTGGTATTCTTCTGGTTGAACTCAAGGTTCTCGAAATGCTTGTGTTAAACTTAAAAAAAAAAAGCTGGATTCAATGCCTCTGATATGAAGCCAAATGTAAGATGGGATGTTGTAGCTGAAAAGCAAAGGAAATAAATGACTGAGGTTTGTAGCGTTGGCTAAGCTTTCCTGTTCTTTGGCATGCTATTTGCAATAAGATAAACTGTCTCCTCGATATCCTTTTGCTTGCTGTTTTCAGAAAGATGAACTGTTTCCTTTGTGCATCTCTTTCCCTATATCTTAATTTAGCATGAAGTGATTAGTTTACTATAATTTCTGTGTTGCCTTTTTTGCCATTTATTAAATCGGGTTTAATGGTTAAGGCAATATTAAGTGTTCTGTCAGGTCATAGTAAAATGCTTTCATTAAAATATATTAGCAATACTCAGCAGAAGCCAGTAACATCACCTGCAACAAAACTAGTTTGAATAAGAACTCTTCCATTATAAGATCTATTTGTAATCTTTGAGAAAATGAAGCATCTGTATAAATGCACATTGCCTCTCTGTTTTTTAGAGTACCAGGAATGTAATTAATAGGTTATTTCAGGTGCTATTTTGGAAAGTTTCTATCGCACTTCCTGAAAAATTGATGAAGAAATTTGTGTAGCCAGATCAGATAATATAACATTTTAATTTAGTGATTCATTTAAATTTACATAAGAATGAGCACTAGAATGTGGCTTAAATTAGCAAGTTAAATGTTTTATATTTTGTAAATATTTTTACTAAATCTTCATTGCAGAAATAGACGGTTATCAGGTTTAGAAATGATGGGATAACTGAAAAATTAAGAAGTTGTATATATATCTGATCATGTAAACAGGAAATTAATATTTTGGATGTTTTATATAATAACAACTAGAGAATGATGCATTTATATGTAAATTCTAAAAGTTCACTATTTTGTGTTCTCAACAATGTGCAGGTTTTCAAAACACATAGGAAAATGGAAGAAAGTACTTGAGAAAGTTAGTCAAAATATTAGTGTAATTTATGCAAGCATCGACTACAGTGATAAAAAGGGCCAGTAGTCCTGTTAGTGTCTGTCATTCCTTGCAGAAATTAGCAATCGTCTTTTCCACTGAAGCCCATATCAGGTTATAGATGTTAATTGTAAGCTGCCATACTTGCCAAAACTCAGCAAGGTTTATCATACATTGATTCTAGTAATTATGTTTCATATTGTGATCTCTTTTTTCACTAAAAAAAGCTTTGGGTTAGTCATGGATGTCTAAAATGTGCAGTGTCTGTGACTGGATAGATAGATAGACACAACTCTTAGTTTGTGCTTATGTAAATAAATATTTTATTTACATGTGCATGTCCCTAGTGGGTTATTACCTTAAATATGTTTGTGCAGTTTCTATTTTTACTTAGACACATAAAATTTTCTCCAGTGTGCAGATTGTTTTTTGTTATTAGCAGATTGTAAAATGTATATAATTGTCAAAGAACGTACTAGGAAGGTGGGCAGTTGAGCCTGGTACTTAAGATAACTGGTTAGTATGTCCATGTCATGTATTGGGTTGCCCAGTTTCTAGTACTGCCTCCACTCAGGGCTCTAGTGTCCTCGTGGTGAGGATCCTGGGAGGCAGCAGCAGTGATGCTTCCAGGTTGCTTCTCTGTACCTTGGTGGTTGAATTCACCCTGAGGTGCTGGTCCCTAGATGTAGCCTCGTCCTGGCTGGCTGCTGTAGGCATTTGAGAAGTGAACCAAAAAATGGGAGTGTTCTATCTTAAAATATTTTATAATGTGTACCTGCCTGAAGCTGAAAGAATTAGAATAATGTAAGTTAGCCTTGTATAGCCCTATGGAAAAAGTGTCCCTAGATCTGCAATAAAGTCAAGAGTGCCATACAATTCTTTTAGTTCTCTTAGAAACAATTTTGGATGGCAATGCTCCATAATATTTCAAAACAGGGATATAGTCAAGGGTGAGGGACCTCTGGCCCCTGTTGGGACCTTAGATATATCTTGGACTTTATTTGAATTTCCCTGTCAATGTATATCTAGTCCTGTACATATCACATCATTATTTTTTAAAGGTGAAATAATATTCTACATTTTGACAAGTTGTGAAATATCAGCCATTGTTTGAATTTTAGTATTTATTATTAATGCATATATTCAAGCCATGCACAGTTTTATTTTTGTATTTGTATATATAGGTCAATAATTACTACTTTTTATAGTTAGCTGTGTGTTTGTGTGTGTGTGTGAAATAGTACCTGTAAGTTTTCAATGTACAGTTTAGCATTATAAGTATAATACACCTTAAGTACACAATACATACACATATATCTATAGATATGAATTCCTCAACTGAAGTTTGTACGTTTTTTTTAATCTCTCCCCACTTTTAGCACCTGTCATGTCTTCTGTGTTTTTGTGACCTCAAATTTGTTTTGAAATTATTTTAGTTATTTGGCAGACAGAAACTGAGAGCAAGAGAGAAAGAGAAATTGATTCTTCATCTATTGTTTTGCTGTGCAAATGCACCACAATAACCTGGGTTGAGCTATACTGAAGCAAGGGACTCAATGCTCAGTCTGTAGCTCCTGTTTATTGTGTTACAGGTACCAAACATATGATTTATCACATGCTGTCTCCTAGGGTGTGTGCAGCAGAAAGAGTTGGAAGTGTAGCTACAGCCCAAACTCAGGCATTTCCAAGTGAACACGTGCCTTCCAGCAACCCTTTACCAAACTATTTCTGAACTCAGATGTTCAGATTTCACATATAATACTTTTGCAATGATTGTCTTTCTGTGCCTGATATTTTGATTACTTGATTCTTAATTGTTTGCTCATTATCTGAATCACAGTATATAGAAAAGGAAGCTTGCATGGATATTCTTATTTACCATACACCATGATAATTACAGACATACTGTCATTTTTAGATTTTACACATGATGGAAGAGTGGGTTAAAGGCAATGTGTGTGTACTCACAGGTGTCAAATAGTTTGTTCTTATGACCGATGGGTTTGACTAGTATGCTGGTGACACATACTCAATATATTTAGCTACAGTGCTTATTAAATTGTTATTATGTATGGTGGTAAATGCCCTAATTTTCCACAAGGATTTATGTTAATTATTTAGGAAATATTTCTCTGCTCATTCTGCACAGATACTTGTTTGCTTTTACAATTCCTATTTAATTATTTGCTTATTATTATGGTTATGTCTTCAAAAAGCAGAGACAGGGAGACAGAGATCTCTTGTCAGACTCTCTAAACATGCACAACACCAGAATTTGGCCAGAATGAGACCAAGAGACATGAAACCAATCTTGCTGGAAGGACCCCAGCTTCTTTTACTGTTACTACTGCCTCCTAGAGTTCACAGAAGCAGGAACCTGGATGGAGAGCAGGGTTGAAACACACACCTAGGCACTACAATATGCAGTGCAGGTGTCTTTAAGAGCAGCTGAACTGCTGAACCACAAGCCTGCCCTTATAAATATCTTGAGTTTATGACTGTAATACAGCAAATTTCTTTTTTAAAAATATGAAATTAAGGTAGTTCAATTTGTAAGTTCAATTCCTGCATACTCTGAATAAATGCTTAGGAAATTTCCTGATTTTTGTCTCCTGTTACTTAGGGGAAAAAGGACTGCAAACAGTGAATTCCTATGATCTTAGGATATAAGATGTCCAATATAACAGTCAATTTGTTCTGCAAAGGATTTTGGTATCTATTATATTGTCTTCCCCATGCTCTCCCTGTAATAAAGCTTTGATGTGCTATTCATCATTTCCATTTGGAAGAAGGAGCTATATTCATGCTCAGACAGCATACTGCTTCCAGTACAGTGTGTTTCAGTAATAAATAAAGTGCATGCTTTAAGTGAAAGTATACATTTTTCAAATACATTAGTCTCTTTGGCACATTTCCAGAGGGCATGCCAAGATAATTTACGTTATTGTTTAATGGCAACATTCACTTCTTTCTAGGAGCAATTTTTGATGAATCTGCCAAAAAGGATGATGAGGTGTTTCGCACAGCGGTTGGCGACCTCAACCAGAATGAAGAGATCTTACAGACTGAGAAAATCACATTTTCAGTGACGTTTGTGGATGGCAACAACCCCTTTCAAGCGGTTCAAGAAGGTAAGACCCATCAGCAGTACACAGCTTATTTATTTGTTTTGTTCAGTTCAAATGACAGTAAACAATTAGAGTTATGAAAAAAAACGTAAAATAGACATTATTCAGGTTGTTTTTCTGGGCCTTGTCTTTCTTTTGAGAGTGCTGTTTTGTAGAAGTTGATCCTGATTCCACAGTGAAAATTGCGGGTTATTGTTTTTGGTTGAAATGCAGCATGAGCGTGAACCTACATATTTCTGATGAAAACCTCTGCAATAGGTTTATGAATTCAGTGTTAATTGAAGCGTTTCTTTAATGTATGACTTTTACCAGCTTTTTTTCCTTGTGATTTCTATGAGAAACTACTGTCTTGAGTGCTGTTAAAGCTTGCCATGGCATTTCAGGTGTACTCAAGAAAAATACGTTGCTGCCAGGAAAACCTTTAGGCACTGCAAATATATCACAGATTTTGTCCTGGATACTAGCATTAATGACCTAGGATATATGAATATATATCTATTTACATTTTTTCTTCTTTACAAGGTACTAAACATCAAAGCACTTCTTTCCCATTCTGTTACTTTGAATTAGTTCTCTATGGGAACAAAATGATACAAATTAAATTAGTTATATTAAAATGGAGTGATCTTTTGTCATTTTTGAAGGTTTTTAGTGCAAGATCTTACTTTCACTGAACTCTGTGTTTGATGCTAAAAATATAATTACACATTTTCCCCTTAGTTGGTAAAGTGCCTATTCATGAAACTATGTGCTACTCATTGTTACAGTCTGACTATTTACACTATCCTCAAGCTTATGGTTAAACCTAATTTCAATCGTGGTAATAATAAGAGGTGATAGATAAGATAATGGAAGGTGGAGTAGGTCTTGAGAACTTCTTTCTCATGAATGGGATTGTAGCCTAATGCACATCAGCTTGAATGAGCTTGTTCACCACAAGGGCCCTCAGAAGATACAGCAAGAGATGTCATTCATGAAGCAGATCCCAGAATCTGCTGGTGCTGGATCTCTGTGCACCTCGCACATGTAAGAGTGACCTGTTGTTTACCTAGAAACTTCCCTAAGTATCTGTCATGGCAGCTTGAATGGACCAAGATGCTACTCTGGTTTATATTTTACTATACTAGTGTATTTATACTATAGATAATGAATACAACATTTATGTAGTCAAAGAGAACATTTGCTTCAATAACATTTCAACAGAATTTGGCAGAGGAGAAGACAGAAACCATATTGGTATTAGATATAGTAGAATTTGGCAGGAATATTTAAATAGTAAACATAGAAAGGGAAAGGAAAATAGGTGTAAATATCTGAAAATAAAGGCATTTTGGTTTGCTATTTGATCTCTTTGATATTCAGGCAAAATGAATGCACTTTTGATCACTGTTGAAACATAGTTACCACTGTCAGTGAGTGGAAATAGGTTGTCTAAATGGGTTTGAATGAAATGAATTAATACAGTTTTCATAAACTCACAGAATTCTTTTAGGGAAAATCTGTCTTTGCCAATCATAGCAGAATATTTATAACAATACGGTAAGTGTTTAATTTTTATTAGTAAACATTGTCAAAATGCATTACATATTTAAATTTATGTTTTGTGTAACCATTCTGCTTGTAGCTAAATTAGAAACAAGAATGTATTTCAAAAGAACTAAGGCGACTTAAAATAATTTGTAGTACCCAAAGCAAATCAACAGAAGAAATAGGTTTCCTAGATAGAGACCACCAGACATTTGTCAAAGAAGAAGGGACTGTGACAGTTTCTCTGATAGATTCTGAAACTAACACTGTGTTCTACACTAGTTATTTTCATGATCTGTTTTGATTAATGAGTCTGAAACAAGTTCCAGAAAGCTTTGGAGATTGTTTCCTCAACCAGGTTTTATCAAATTTATATTGATATCAAAAGAAAGTCTTTCTAAAGCTCTTTTTGCAACAGTGGTTGAACAAAATCAGAATAGTCTATTGACATGAGAAACAAAGCAATATTGTTTTCTTCAGTGTTTTGAGAAAGTGATCTGTAGATAATCTCAACTGTGGCATCGAGGATAGTAATTTGTTCGGTGATCCTGTCTTTCTGTATTACTTTGAAAACCCAAGGATCATGTAATTGTAATTCTAATCATTAATTTATTTGTTGAACTGTTACTTTTTCTTCCTTTTTATGCCACATCCATGTCACCCTTACCCTAATGTGCATGTTAATGCCTTTGACTCTTACTGCAATACTTTGAAAGACCTTGTGTGGCCATTTGGTACATCAGCTGATGGATCTCTCTCTCTCTCCTCTCTACTCTCTCTTTCTGTCATTTTGTTTCTCTGCATGCTTTTCAAATAGAATAGAATTTATTAAAATTATTTTTTATTCCTTAATTTAAGAGATTTTGAAACTAGAATTTTTTTTTTCTAGGCTGGATTAGTGTCTGGGATGTAAAATTATGTCTGAAGAAAATAATAAATCATATTACACACACATGCTAGATTAGATATTCTAGGCTCTGGTACGTATGAGAAAATGTAAATGGTTCATGGAAAATATGTATTATGTTGAAATTAAACCTGGATTCCAATATTTCACAACAAAATGAACTTATCCGTTTAATTAACTTATCCGTTTAACATTTTCCATAATGTTTTTTTTTAAATGTTGCTCACACATTATGCACACACTTACACACACATACACATTAGGGAAGAGTGTAGTATAGGATTTTAATAATTACTAATTATGAAAAAGATAACATATTTATGCTTTGAGATCTATTGTATATGTTCACTGCTGGTAATTGTAAGAAAATTTCACTCTAGGTGACAAACATGAATTACCATGTATAAATAAATCTTAGTCTTCAATTCTTAGGTTTCCACATCAAGTAATCAATGAAGGATTAAGAACATAAATGATTTCTATTCAAGGTCACTTTAATCTTCACTCTTGATAACACATTAGAACCTAATAGATACGATCATTAATTAATTATCCTGAGAGAAGCCTGAAATTGCTTCATAGCTTCTCTCTGACTGATATAATAGTAAGTTAAAGCGATAGGTGTGGAAGTAGATCTAGTTATGTAGAAATGTAATGCCCTGGCATGTACTCACCACAGTCAAAGAAACTCATTTTTTTTTTTCACCAGAGTGAAACTGGTGAAAACACAGTTTGGTGAAAACACAGAGGCCTTGTGTTGTTTCACTTGGCATGAACTAAGATGCCAGGTGTTCTACTTTTCCTTCTATTATTCTGTTACAGACATTTTTCCCTCAGTAGCCCTATGTGCTGTAGGTAACATAGATGTGCGTATGTCTGACGTGAAGTACAGTGGGCAATGATTCTACTGTTAGCTCTGGATGATACCAAATGCTATGATCCAAGATATGTGGCAGTTTATACCACGAAATGTCATGAAAAATAAACATAGCACATTGATGAAAAGGTTCACATTATTAGTTGATTTATGGAATGTAAATCCAGAGAAGCATAATTCTTGTAAGCAATGGGCATACCATGAATGCAAAGTATCCTGCATTACTATAGAATGGCAAATTTCAGTGCAAACATTTTGAAATAATTGCTGTTATTACAACAGTATCTCAAAATGTACGTTGTGTAGAAGGACGGAATTCTTGTTGTAAGTAGACAAATGTTTGCACTGGATAGAAAAATTGATAACTTTCATAATTGTGATTCCTTTTGTTCTATTATTGTTTATAATAGCATTTTAATTAAAAACAGTAGGATTTTGAAAATTTCTCAGGGCTTTCAAAATATGGACATTTGAATGAATTAGCAAGATCTGAATGAGAAATTCAGTCTCATTGAGATGTGTAGCACTGACATGCATTTTAACTTGAATTTACCTCATATCACCAGAAATATAGTTATATACTAGACTGGAGTTACAATTTCAGTATGTATTCATAAAAATAGTTTAAGTTCATGTTGACAAAGGTGACACTGCTAAAATCAAAATTTTCAAACTAGTATTAGTTTTATGGAAATCTAGAGTTCCGTAAAAATCTAAATTTCAGTTTACTTTTTAAAATTGAGACCAAAGAATAAAAATTGTATCATATGAAGTCATTTGACTGTCAAGCAACATTTTGCTTACTTACCATGTAAATTTCAAAGCAATTAATATTAGATCACTTAAATTCAAAAGGAAAACACAAAAAAACAGTGTGCATTTGAAGGCAGCAGATTTCATAGTTTTCATTTGTGCACTTTCCAAAACATTATACTTTCACCCTTCTTGCCTTATTGCTCTTTCTTTCTTAGTTTTCTTCTAATTTTTGCACTGACATAGTTTCCTTTGAAATCACAAGCGTACTCTTCCACTAAATAAAGAATTCACCACATAGCAAGTAGAAAGCCCATTGATTCTCAGGATTTTGGGCAAGGGCTATAAAAATCAGATCATAAGATGTCAAGTTCACTCATATACATGATTTTTTCTTTGTATTCTATATATTAGATAAAACCTATGGCATTTATCTTCCTGGGGACTGGCTTATTTCACTAAATTTAGTGGTCTCCATTGCATCCCTTTTGTTGAAATTCTGTGTTCTCTCCTGATCACACTGTAGTACTTGCGTATTAACTTGACTTTTATTCTGTTATTTTCTATTAAGTTCCAATATGCTTGTGTACCTCCTCATTTTGCTCTTCCTTGATACTATTCTTTTTAAAATTATTATTCAAATATATTATTGACCATAATATACTATGCTTCCAAATCTCTTTATTTAAGCCCTTTTAATCTTTGATTATCTGTATGGTATTGTCAGCACTCATGTTGTATACATATAAATTAGTATGTAAATTTGGGTTTTTGTAATGTTTATCTCAGAAGAACGTAAAAATGAACTTTATCTTCAGGGAACCCTATACTTACCTTTATATGTTTATTCTGTCCATTAGCCCATTTCTTTTTTGTTTTGGCCTCTGATCCTCAGCTTTGTTATTTGTTATACATAAATTGGGGATAAATATATACTTT